AAACAAGCAAAACAGTAATTTATGTCAAACAAGACAACATACAGCATCGGTTACTCAGTCATTCAACCCATAATCAATAAAACAGTAAAATATGCACATGAAACTATGAAACGAAAACATCAGACCTCATACTGCATTTAAAACTGTAAAATAAGCCAAATAACAATTAACCGACAAACACACTAGACTCGGGCTCCATTAGCGACCTTAAGCAATTTCACACATTCGTTGATTCAAGAAATACCGTTCTATCATTATTGAACTTTAATACCGTGATAGGAAATAGGGTGAGGGGTTCTTACGCATTTTGGGGTCCGAACACGGCTTTACAGTGCGCCTACAGGCTGTCCCTAATTTTCCCTAAATTTTTTCTGGGGAACTGAAACGCATTACTGGTACCTGCACGTGTTCCAAAAAATCCCAAATTAGACCCAGGGCCCCTTTCGGCCAATATCGCAATTCCGGCACGGCGGCTCCGCCGTGCTCCGGCGACGGTGCCGTCGCTTGCGGTGGCAATTCACCTCGGGTTGGCCGTTTTCAGCCGTTTCTAGCCGAATTCGGCCACACTTACATCGGTCCCTGTGATAAAACAAACCTAGGGCCCTCGGGGGGCCAAAAAATTACGAAAAACCGAAGCTTACCCGCGGCGGTGCTCTCGGGTGCGGCGGCTCTCCGACGAGGTTCGTGTTTTGGTGATTCGGCTCTGATCAACCTGTAGAGAAAAGAATGGTGATCATGGTGATATAAAAATTGCATCAAACGGAGGCCGGGAAAGGCCTCATCGGAGGCAAAAACCGAGGAGGGGCGCGGCGGCACCGCTGGGTTTCGGCCGTGTTTTCCTGCCGTTTGGTTGGGATTTTGGCTCCGATTTGGCCACAGGGGAACTAAGCGTGGAAAAACAAGTCGGGGCATGAAATTTACCTCGATCGGCGGTCGAAAATCTCCCCGGTGCAGCGGCGGCCGGCTCCTCCGGCGTCTGGTTCGTCTTCTCCGGCGAGGGCAGGCGGCTAGGGTTTTTGTGGTCAGGTGTAGAGGTTCTATTTATACCCTTTTGCCTTTTGATCTCAGCCATCCATTTTGATTAAATTTGGGCCGTCCGTTTTTGATTGAATCTGAGCCGTCCGTGCGATTGCATCTGGGCCGTCCGTGCGCACGCTTGATCTGGACCGTCCGTGCGCGCGGGGACGCATCTGGGCCGTCCGATCGCGCGCACGCGGATCGCCCACGTGGCCCGTCCCCGGGTCGATGTGGTCTTGCCACGCGGCAGGTCCTGGTTGGCCAGGGCTTTTGACTGGGCCGCTGACGTGGCGCTCTTTTTTTTTTAAATTAAACTTAATAAATAAAATTAATAATATAATAATAAAAATGCTCAATTGTTTGGGCGTTACACACTAGCTCATTAAGAATATCACGCTACTCACCAACACATAAATGAATGTTGGTAGAAATCATTAAAACAACTAATGGAGCTCTTAATTTAAGTAAATTCGTTTGTCATAAATAAAATCAGTTACCGTATACTTACCGTAGCGAGATTTTAAAAAATAACCTATAGAGTTAAAAACATAACACATACCATAATTTCATGTACAGTCAGGCGGAACAACAACCTTATTTTTTATCAGTCTACTGGTATCCATGGAGGTGTATAGAGTTGTTCCCACCATGCGTAAATTATTTTTTAACATTTTCAATTAACGGTCGTCCCCATACCTCGTATAGTATGAGCGCCAAAAGATATCATCCCTTAATACTCCGTCCGGTATGAGGGTGAAACAGACCGTCTTCATACCCCGTCCGGTATGAGCACCAAATTATCAAATCTCGACCCCCCGTCTGGTATGAGGCAACGTTCACGGTACGGTTTCCTATGTACCCGGTCCGTCCACCATCTCCCAGGATATCTAGTAAGGTTGTCATTCATTCATCTACTTAATCAAATAATTTTCTATTTACCTTTAATTTATAGTTTTTTAATTCAACCGTAATCACATAAAATAAGCAATACATGTATCAAATGAATACAATCGCATCACCATACTAATTCCAGTGCATTAGCATGCATTCGAAAGCTGTAAAATCAGGCAATCTGTTAAACATAGCAAATAATAATAAATAACCGGTTCCGACTCCATTATTAACCTCTAATTAATTATGAATATTTTTTAAATTTCACAAAATACCATATTATTTAGGATTAAACTTCAATTCCATAACAGAGAATAATGTGATAAATTTTTACTCAAACTGATGTTCAAAATGCTAACTTTTGACTGCGGCTACTGACGGTCCTCAAGTTCTCTAAATTTTTCTTTGGGGATTAAAACATATCTCAAATACCTAAAAATATCCCAAAAAATCTAAAATAAGTGTTCAAAACCCTTTTTGGCCAATTCCAGAATTTTGGCACAGTGGTTCCGCTGTGCTCTAGTGACGGCACCGCTGCCTACAGCGGCGGTTTGCCTCGAATCGGCTGTTTTTGACTGTTTTTAGTTGAATTCGGCTGGTTTTGTACCAATCCTTACGAAAAAAAATACGTTAAAGGACCTCGGTTGCCGAAAAAAATCGAAAAATCGAAGCTTACCGATGGCGAGTTTCTCCGGTGTGGCGGCTCTGCTGGCTCACCTTCGTAATTAGGTGTTTTGCTTCAGTCAACCTATAGAGAAAGGAATGGTGTTACAATGGTGAAAAAATTATACGAAACGGAAATCAGGAAGGTCCTCTCAGAGGCATT